AACAAAATGTTTGTTTTAAAGGTTGTTACTATAAAAGGAAATTTTTTGTTAAAAATTGATTTACGGGAGAGAGTTTTGAGATGTTGTTTTTTTTCAAATGTATATTTTGTAATATATAAATAAATAAAGAAATAGTGTTTACCTACTTAAAAAAAAAATCTATAAAACAAATTTATAAAATTTTAATAATCTTAATAAAATTTTTATTTGTAATTAATTTTTAATACTTAAAAAATTATTTTATATAAAATTTATATTATTGTAATTCTTAGGTTTTAAACTTTCTTTTAATATATTTTTATTAATATTTATTAATAGTTTTGAATAACAAATAAATAAAAAATTATAAAATTTTTGCAATATACGTACATATATAATAATATATTTAATTTTTTATATTAATAAGTTTTTTTATATACTAATAAAGAATATAATAATTGTTTTATTTAAATATTTTTCAAAAACTCAAAAATAAATTTTGTTTTAATTAAAAGAAATTTTAATCAAGATAAAATTTTTATTGGTAATTATTAATAGAATTGATTGATTTAATCTGTTTATTAAATTAAATTAAATTATAATTAAAATTAATTTGATTTAATATTTTTTAAATTTTTAATAATCAGAATAAAATTTCATCAGATACTTATAAAACAAACATAAATTATATATAAAAATAAATAAAAAAAATTAATTAATTAATTTTATTGAATTAACAGTTTTATAAAAATAATATATAGATAAATTAAAATTTTATATTCAATATATAATTATTTTATTAAGCATTAAACATGAATAATAATAATAAATTTTATAATATTTCTAATATAATTTTAAAAACAAAAGATCTTTTTATTTATTATACAGTATCTAATGAAATAAATATGTACATATAATATTATATAATTTAATAATTTAATTATAAATTATTTACATTATACCGTGTATGATAAATTAATCACAATTGTTAAATTTTATTAGATGATTCTAAACTTTTGATAATAGCATATATACTAATTATTTTATTTTAAATAACCTAATTTAGCAACTATAAAAAATTTTTAAATTGGACAAATAAACAAATTATAAAATAATTTAATTTATAATTTATCTAATATAATATATTTTATATTTTAAAAACCATAAGATATTAAATCAATAATTTTTTATGCCATAAAATGAGTAGATGGATGAATGAAAACAATCATGTTTTATTTTGCATTTTAAAATAATATCTTTTTTTTGAAAATCCAAATAAAATATGAATCGGGTCTTGCAAAATGAATTTCATCAAAGGGGCAATATGATTTTTACTATGGAACATGTTCAGTAAAGTATTGTATATATCAATTAACAGAAAAAAAATAAAAAAAAAAACCGGGTCGGCATATTTCCTAGAAATACTAGTGTGGTCTACTTTTTTGTAAAAGCAGTCGCGTGAAAAATACACGAGAAACATGAATTGTCCGGAATGTCAATAATATTTCCGAATATGTACATATACGCATATGGACACTAGAGATTAACAGTAAATTAATATATAGTACAATACAGTAATGTCAATCTTTTGTACGTATTGTGATATGACACCATTGTTTCAAGATAGGTATGCTACTCAAACTTTAATCTCAAGGTCGTGTGGAAAATCTGAGAATCATTTACAAAAAGCCAAGTTTTGCATCAAGTCTCTTTTGTTCACAATATTTTTATCTTTTGACAAACACATACGTTTTTTTTTCTCACATCAAGTTAGAATTGACATCGAACATTCGAATATTTCATATCAATTCTTTTTTGAAAAGTTTCACACGCACGTTTTCTCTGTCAAAAGCATTTTCCATCAAATGGTGTTTGCGGAGGTAACCCCAGCAGGTATAAAGATAACACATTCTGATTGTAACGGAATCAATGACATTCCAGAGCAGATTGGCCCTGTCGTTGACGAAGCAGGGGACATTCATTATTTCAGCCGAATTCACAATGATGACCCTACTGTGCAATATTGGTTGAAGAGGCTGGGTCAAAGTTTGGCAAAGCATTTTGCTTATGTCTATAAAATTAATGTGGACAAAGGTATCATAATTTTCAAATACACATTCGGCTCCCGGTTCACCTACCAACTTTTATATGCATTGCTCGTAAATATATAGATCGTGCCGTCTTAATTGATTTTCCGGAAGGATATTGGATGTTTATGCATGAAAAAGAGCACAAGGATGGAAAGAAAACGAGCGTACAAAAATATTTACTTGGTAATATTAGTATTCATAAGTCATCTTTGCTAATTCTTAGAATTAATGAGGTGTCTACATTCGCAGGGCACACCATATATAAATCCACGAACGCTTTCATGCCTCATCTATTTTGGTTGGTGTCGGACAAGTCCAATAAATGCAAGTGTCGTTCATGCGTATGCGATAAAATGAAAGAGTCAATGCCAATAACTCCAGCACGAAAGGCATACACTAGTAGTACCCGTGTTAATAATGGGGCAAAGCGTAAAAGTAAATTCAGTAAAGTTCAAGGAACTATTGATTTTAGCAAGCTGGAGTTTATTAATTTCGAGAGGAAACAGGGTGTCACAATATATAGATGTGGTGAGGTCGTGTGGGTGGATGTTCTGAAGATGGGAGACAAAAAATTAACACGGTTAGCCGAATCAACATCTAAGGAGATCGACATCAGGTATTGGCCGGGGATCATATTAAAGCGTACGAGAACGCAGTCATCCAATGAGCACGAAGATTCCACTCCAAAAACTTCGGAGGATAGTTTAAGTCTAATGGAGGTTGACACTCCTAATACAGAATACGGATTTATAGGTGAGGTTGGTGGAGTGCCGGGCGAGTCTTTTTTCGGTTCCGCGTCGCCAAGTCCGCTCGCAAAAATTAAGGAAAAGGACATTCCAACCTCGCAACACAGCCCAGAGTTCGATGATTGTTATGTTTTAATCCCAACGATAAATTGCTCTCAACATTCTTATCCTGTCAATGATGCTTCGAGGCTTAGTGAAGATGAATTTTTTGTGTCCGAGAATTTTTCGACGCAGGATACTCCTCTCGCATCGACCACTAAAAAATTTGATTCACATAACAATAATAACAATAACAATAATAATAGTAACAGTAATAATAATAATAATAAGGTCATCTATCAGGTCGAATTATTTGAGCTATCAGAAAAATTGGAACTAGATCGTGAGGCGCTTTCTCCGTGGTTAACTCATCGACCGAACATTCTTGATCCGGATTGTGATACAGGTAGTGTGTTAAATGAAAAATGAGTTAAAGGAAAGAAGAAAAGGGTTCGTTCATTCATTCATGCAATCATGTATAAATACAGATAACGAAAACGACGAATCGCTAGTAAGAAATTATGTTGACGCTGTTCGAGAAGCAACTTTATTATCTCAATCATACACAACCTTGAATGCTTATCAAGAAGACGTGATGGACTACAGTCAAATGATTGATATGCTAAAGCAAAACGAGAGAAGACGAGTGAAGGATAAGATTATACGTACCGAAGCCATCCTCTTTGGTAACGAATTATTCTGCATTGAAGACATAATACGATTGACACCATGCGACATAGAGAATCCAACCTACGAGGATTACCCCGACCCACAGTATATTTATCTGAAAGATATCTGTGAAACAAACAACGGTATACAACTCATCGGGGACGGATTAATTCGTAGAAGATTAGTCAATGAAAATGATGCACGATTTATTACGGATTACGAGTGGTACAGGATTAATTTCCCGGAAGAGGAGTACACAATAGATTTGGGAGAAGTGGCAGGTAGGTTTTACGTTGATTACCCCGATCTCGAAGAAATTATGGGGTGCTCGCGTTCCATGACCCTTAAGGAACGGTGGGGAGGTCAGAGTTTCTATAGGACTATTATGAATACCATGAATGTTTCTCCGATCGTATAAATTAGTGTGTAGCGTGACAAGCTGTTGTAGATCTTACTAATATTTCATTGTTAAATAAACGAGCATAATACGTATAATTCTTGTGTGAGAACGACATGCATGTTTGTGTTGAACATAAGTGAACTTCTTGGTCTGCGTTAACTCTCAAAATGAGTAAAGTCTCGTTCAGGAACGTAAAGATTAACGATTAACGAAAAACAATGACCCTTTGTTTTCAACACGACTCAATTTAGTAATATAAAGAGACGCGAAGGTTTTGACAAGATTCTTTGGACTCAATTTAGCCAATTTCGTTTCGCGTAACCGATGTATCACCAAAAGAGAAAGCATATCGTCGATCGTTCAACCAATCCCGATCCAGTACTTAAGATCTTCATGTGCATGGGCGGGCAACTCTTCGTCGGTACGTACGCATATTTTTGGTGATGAATCATGAATCTAATGAAAATCTCGATTCTACCCTAGAATGGGTGAATTGGATGGATGGTCTCATCATCGAAGACGCCTTTCGAAAAGAAAAAATCTTTTTATATTCATACAGCGATTTCAAAGATCTGAAAGTTATCGGTGTCGGTTCTAACGGGAACGTGTGCAAAGCGACCACCCGTAGTTCTCGGAAAAACGTGGTCCTCAAACCCATCTCCTTAACAAAAGATTATTCTCACAAGGATTTGATAAAAGAAGTATGATTTCTTATCAACGCGTTTTTAAGTGAGATCGGTTCGGGCAGTTTCTAAATAAATATTCTTCCGATTTTTACATTCTTCTTATAGATAAAACGGTACCGACAGTTGGAACTTCACGGAAACATTTTGAAATTATACGGGATCACAAAGCAGGGTAGCTTGACGTTTCAAGGGAATCGAAAAAAGCCTTGAGCTATAACAACTTACCGAAAAATTTTCTAGATCAAAACTCACACGTATATCTGGTCGTTTTTGAATACTCCGATGGTGGTTCTCTTCGTCAATTTTTGAAGGAAAACCATGAAACTATTAGCTGGCATACAAAATTACAACTCTCAAAACAGCTTGTCGGCGCATTAATGTGGCTGCACGGAAACGACATTGTTCACGGACATTTGGTATGTCACTGATTGCGACTTCTGTGAGCATTGACAATTCTCTTTCACACTTTCTGACAACTGACTTCCTTTAGAGTTCATCTAAGGTTCTTGTGTGCAAAGGAAAGATAAAACTAAATCCCTTTGGAATTGTCAGACGTACAAATGAGTCAAGAGGGTTGATGGAAAAATTCATGGGCCCCGTCCAATATGCAGATCCTCGTTATCTGGAAATTTTTCAATCTATTGGTCGCAAGAAAAGTGTAGATATTTATAGCCTAGGAATTATATTATGGGAAATCTCGAGCGCAAGAGAACCATATAAGTCAGAATCAAAGTCAACTTACGAGCTTATTGATGAAATTTGCAATGGCAAGAGAGAGACGATTCTTGATGAGGTCCCCCGAGAATATTCGAAGATCTTCCAAGGTATTACCACCACGAAATATACTGTATGTATTAATTGATGCTACTCACATAACATTAACATTTGCTCAATGCAGATTGTTGGCATCATGATGAAAGACGTCGTCCAAACATTGACCAAGTTTTTGAAGCACTTGACAATGTCGACACGAAAAGTAAAAGTAAACTCGGCGAGATCGTTGTTTCACATGATAAATCT